AGAGTATTTTATTAATAATAATAGCTTCGTGAATGAAGGTGCATACTTTATTGGCATTTCCTGACTCATCAGTATGTGGTAAAACAAGTAAAAGTGAAGTGGAGTTAAAGATGTTCTGAGGAATTATCTGGCTTTCTGACTTCAGTTCTCTTGAAGTGTAAGGAGTTTCCAGTTTGTCCTGTATATAAATCCTTCCTCTAAACCAACCACAAATTACACCCTGGCATAGACTTGCAGAGATAATCCACTGTCTAACAACCTGCTGTGAATAAAATATGTAATTATATAATTATAATCATAAATAAATTAGGGCACACAGATAATTAGCTTACATTATTTAAGTCTTGCCAAGACACACAATAACACCAATGTAAGATAAACTACTGTTAAAGTGCAGAGATACAATGTTCAGCACAGCGGAGCCTTCTGGACATGTGCTTTCCAACACAATCTCACGGCAATTCGTAACTTTTTGATTTAGTGGCTAATTCGTATGAATTCATTCGATCTAATTCGTACATTTTAGTACGATTTGCTCATCCCCCAATGGCGGTTGGGTTTAGGGGTGGGGTTAGGTGCCACGCCTCCTATTAAAAATCATACAATTTCGTACGACTGAACTCATGAATTCATACGAATTAGCCACTAAATTGGCAAAACGTAAAATACTTATGTTTTCTCGAGAGATCAGGCTGGTGTTTTCAATAAAACAACTTAAGTTTTAGTTTAGACCAATGTTAAAGTTTCCACACAATTTTCCAGTAATGTCAACTATTTGGGTTACTAGTTTGCTTATTGAGTTTAGTTTAGCTTTATCTTGTGTAAATAAAATAAGTTCACACACACATTGCTAGTGAGGTCTGCTGTTTGGATGTACAGTGAGTGTCCGTCTATTATAATTGTCACTAAATCATTTTAATGTGTTGTCTTTCCTCTTTTCTCCTGACTCATCAGACGCTTCTGAACAGAATGTGGTAAAACAAGTAAAAGTGAAATGAGTTCATGATGTTCAGAGGAATTACCTGGCTTTCTGACTCCAGTTCTGTTGAAGTGAAAGGAGAAATCTCCAGTTTTTCATGTAATATAAATTCCTCTTCAAAATCAACCATGAATTACACCCTGACATAGACTTGCAGAGATAATCCACTGTCTGAAAACAAAACACACACGTCATCCAGCATAGAGTATGTGTGTAAGGGGAACTCGGCTGAGGTGTATATTGCACCCTCTGGTGGATTTACACGAGAAGAGGACGAGCAAGAGAAATTTGAGATCATCAAAAAGCAAACACAGTAAAACTTTGGTGAATTTGCAAAAACAAAAGCTCGAGCAGATGTTCCACCAGTCACATATTCCACTGTCTCCAGACATGTAGACCTGGGTACATATCCGTATGAGCCTGGGATGACAAAAGATCAGGACGAGGACAAACAGTCATGATAACAACAACAAATATGAATATTAATCTAGAATAAACAAAAGATTATGGATATATCCCCTCATATACAGAGGCATGAGGTTGGATAGTAAAGCTTTCCCCAAATCTTTTAGAAGAGATGCAATGCGTCTGAGGTGTTTAGTGTACAGCTAAAACATGTTTATGATGTGGAAACCATTTTCAATCACGTCTTTCCAGTCACATCATATCTGTGAAGACGCTGTTACTAAAGAACTACAAGAAGACACAGGAGCAGAAGCAGCTGGCACTGCAGGATGGCAGACTGACTGGAACAGGACGATTGCAGGAATGAGGCTGGCTGTAATGTTGATCTTTTCAGATATACAGAGCTTTCTCTCTGTCCTCTAGCTCCCCCTGCTGGTCTCCACTCCACAATTAAGTTTTCTTAGAAGCCTGTTTATTGAGAATAATCCACGAAACCCTCAACTTTACCTGAACAATACACAGTATAAGTATATTAACAGCTTATTAACACTTTTAGCAGAGTAAATATCAGCAAATAAACATATTTTCCCAATAGATGTTAGACTTGAAACACCTTAAATCAACTTAACAGTTGACATCTCAGTTGTCAGTTTATTATCAGAAACAGTCAATACATTCGACAGCTATGGGTAGACCACCTTACCACCCGACAGTGCCAGAGGTTTTTCTGCCTCTATAAAGTATCTGACACAATCCTTCCGTGTGAAAGTTTCCCCCTGGTCCTCTGAGAGTCTTCTGAGTAAGCTAGAATGTTTTTTTCTGTGTGGTCTTGAATGAGCACAATTCTGCAATACATTGAATAAAGATCAACTGAATTATTCTACATACCCTGCCTGTTTTGCCTCAGTGTATTTTTTTTATAAACCTGCATGTTGTCAAAACCACCTTCAGTGCCAAACCTTGATTCTGAACAGCTGTATGCTCCAAAACATACATACAAAATCTTAGAGGGATGATCGAGGAGGTCAGGAAGGCTAGTGCAGTGAAAACGATTCCTTTAAGCTTGTAAAATCCACTGGATCTAAACATGCCACTTCTTTTAAAGGCAAGTTTTCCTGCTTCTGTCACCTTCCACTAAATCTCTGGATGTTTCGTGTACATGGTTTTTGTGAGTACTGACAGTGAATGTGGTGTTATTGGCCATTTGGGATTGTCCTGCCATTTTTAACCTACAATATTTCAGAATTATCGAAATTCAACACACTATAGTCCACATACTATTAAACAAAGCTACATAAACATTTATATTTTTCATTTCAGGAGCGTTTTGTCAAAATGTATGTGATGGTGGAGACCAAAGCTAAAACAAACTGCTGTAAACACCAACACATCTGTTTAAATTCATTACGTCTGTAGCTCAGCTCTACAGCTTACTATTTTAAAGACCTCATGTTTCTTTAACAAAGGCATTTCTGCAATCTCTTATTTCATTCATTCATTCATTTGCTTGTTGGCTTAGTCCCTTTATTAATCTGGGGTTGCCACAGCGGAATGAACCGCCAACTTATCCAGCAAGTTTTTAGGCAGCGGATGCCCTTCCAGCCGCAACCCATCACTGGGAAACACACTCATGCACACTATTACACTACAGACAATTTAGCCTACCCAATTCAGCCTACCCAGTTCACCTATAGCGCATGTGTTTGGACTGTGGGGGAAACCGAAGCACCCGGAGGAAACCCATGCGAACACAGGGACAACATGCAAACTCCACACAGAAACGCCAACTGAGCCGAGGTTCAAACCAGCGACCTTCTTGCTGTGTGGCGACAGCACTACCTACTGCACCACTGCATCACCACAATCTCTTATTTCTTAAATTCAAACTTTAATTACTAATAACTCTATTAGTGAAGTCATAAGATAACTGTGGTGGAACTATAACACTATCAGCGTTAACTTAGTCACTACTAAGTACAAAAACCAGTCCAAGTTTTATTCTAGCTCAGTTTTTCTCAGCTTCAGATGTCTGTCTCTTTATTTTAAATGATTCTTTACATTTATTCAAACTTTAACAAGAATAATTAGATTTTCTCTAGAACTGATGTAGATTATAAGAATAGAGGCTGAGGGGTTACAGGTATTGACCTAGGGAACTACACGCAGGCTTGCATCTGAATGAGGTTATCTGAAAACAAGGACCATCTATCATCTTCATCATGTATTCATTCCTGCAGTCCTCTTATTGAACACACCCAGTTCAGATTTGGGCAGGTGTTATATATAGTGAACATGAAGAGGACTTCTACGCTTGAACTTCAAATGCCAAAGTGGAAATTTGATGCAGGTTAATGGAGAAAAGTTTAGATTTTAACCTTCATTTTTGACTGAAGAAAGAAACACATGAACATCTTTGATGATAAGGCGGTGAGTAGTGATGGGGAGTTCAGATGTTTTCTGTAAACTGAATGTTTTGGGCAGTTTGTTTCAATAAAGTAGTTAAACAAAACAGATCACTGGGGGCGTAATGACAAATCTACTAGGTTAGAACTCAACATATTAAGTTTTGCAATGCAAAGAAAGCGTGATTCAGTTTTATTCTACGCCACACTAGATTACTATTCATATTTCATTATGATTGTTCTGCTATGAAATAAGTGTAAATTTGGCTAGATCCCTCATTTAAGCCCTTGGTTTGCCAGCGCTGATGGAGCATTAGCACAGAATCAGTTAAGTTAGGTTCAGATGCTGCTGTGCTGTCAGTCACTCCGGCAGTAAGGTAGTGCTTGTGTTCGGTTTGGTTTTCTTTTCACAGCTAATCACTCACTGTACTGTTCTAGTAACTGAATAACTCAGAACATTGGTTTATTGTGAGTCAGGGGCGGTGTCAGGCTTGTTAGAAAGTAAGCTGGATACGTGCTTACTGGAAATGCAAACCATTTCAAGTGATTCAGTTCAATTTGGTGAACGGGTTCAACTGGTTCCCTTAGGACAGGGGTGCTCAACCCTGTTCCTGGAGATCTACCTTCCTGCAGAGCTGCAACTTTAATCAAACACACATGATTTTAATTACCAAGTGCTCCTTCAGCTCCTACTTACTGGGTTTAGATGTGTTTGATCAGGGTTGGAGCTGAACTCTGCAGGACGGTAGATCTCCAGGATCAGGATTAAGCACCGCTCAATCTCTCATCTTGCATGTTCTCCCCCTGTTGGCGTGGGTTTCCTCCGGGTGCTCCGGTTTCCCCCACAGTCCAAACACATGTGCTATAGGGGAACTGATCAACTACCCTGGCTGTAGTGTATGAGTGTGAATGAGTGTGTATGGGTGTTTCCAATAGGTTACCCTTATTTATTTTGAATAATAATCATAATATAATCATAATATTTAATGTGTTTATATAATATCTATAGGCTGTGTACAACTTTGCGTCAAGCAACAGGACTGATGTCTTCTCTTGAGCAATGAGGATTACTCTACATACCTGAGATGTTTTCTGAGGATCTCTGCGAGCACAGACTCTCCATGACCTCGTCCTGTATGAGGATGGGTGTGTTTACTGTGACGTCTGCCTGCTTCTCTCTTCATTCTCATGTCTCAACTTGTAAAGCAGTATGATGCGTGTTTCTGAAGTATTTCAGATCTGCTGTTCAACTCCACAGTTCTGGGGAAACAGAGAGATCTACAGTCATCATTAGAGGTGAGTGTTTGCTCTTTCTGCACACAAACTTTAAGTCTGAGTTTATTGTCCTGATCAAACAGATGAAATGAAGTGAGTCACAGAAAGCTGCTCATATCTGAAGTAAAGAACCCCGAGTATGATCCAGACATGATAATAAATCTGCTGTCTGCAAACCCCTCGGGCTCTCAGCAGAGGTTCACCGGTCAGACTGCTTTCGATTGTTTTCCTGAAGTGGTTCTGGTTTAACTCATCTGAAGACGAACAACCTTCAGCAGTGCTTTCAAAATCACCCCATAATGATCAAGTTGAATAAGAGAAATGATGGACCATACATAAAGCTTATAAAATATCATCAGCAGTAACAAGGAGAGCTGTGAGTGGTTTTTCTCCACTCTCAGGTGTGTTAATGTAATAGTAATAACATTCAAATGTTTATGTCAGACGTACAGTAAGAAACTGCTTCGGGTGTTGTTCTCCTCTTCCTGCAGCTGTGAACCGGTGAGGAAGATGGCGTCTGTTGAAGAGCTGCTCTTGAAATCACTGGAAGATCTGGAAAATCCTGAGCTGAAGAAATTTCAGTGGCACTTAAAGAAATATCCTAAACGTATATATAAGTGTGAAATGGAGAAAGCAGACAGGTTAGACACTGTGGACAAGATGGTAGAGTGTTTTGGAGCAGAAGATGCTGTGAATAACACTGTCAGCATCCTGAGGAAAATAAACCAGAATAATCTGGCGGAGCAGCTGGAGAATGAACACAAGAATCAAGGTAACATTTTAATTGACCAATCTTTCTTCCTAATTCCTCGATTGCAGCACTAGGGGGGATCTTCGGTACTCTTGAATAAACTATATGTATTAGGCCGTACTCACACTAGGTACAGTTGCCTCGAACCGGGCCAAAGCACGCTTGTCCCCCCTCCTGTCTCCCCCGACGGCCCGCGCTCACACCATATCGGGCCTCGGCACGCTTACGTCATCACTGCTGCTCTGTTCAGTGAGAAGCACTCCCTATGGCAAGTCTTTTTAGCATTTAAATCTTTGTTCTGACTCCATAAATATATTTAGAGATATCTCTAATTATATTTTGACTAGTCATAATTATAAATCAACTAGTCAGAATAACAATTAGAGATATCTGCAATTACAATTGTACTAGTACGAAATCAGATTGGAGATATCTGCAAATATATTATGACTAGTCATATTCCTCCATTGACTTCCATTGAAAAATATTCGCAGATATCTCCAAATGAGTTTTGACTAGTCACAATTGTAATTAGAGATATCTCTAACTGAGTTTTTACTAGTCAAAATACATTTGGAGATGTCTTTAATTCGTCAGATTTAGAGATATTTACAGATATATTTGAAGATATCTCTAATTAATTTACTAATAGTCGAATTACAGTTGTAGATATCTTGAATTGGATTTTTGACGAGTCAAAACTCAGTTAGAGATATCTGCAAATATTGTTCAATGGAAGTCAATGGAGGAATTGCAGATATCTCCAATCTGATTTCGTATTAGTACAATTGTAATTGCAGATATCTCTAATTGTCATTCTGACTAGTCGAATTATAATCATGACTAGTCAAAATATAATTAGAGATATCTCTAATGGATAGTCAGAACAAGGTTTAAATGCTAAAACGGCTTGCCATACGCTCTCACTCAGTAGCACCGTGGAGATTTCTCTAGTTATATCGTTTCAGTCGTTTGATATGCCGTCAAATATTTCGCCAAACAGTCCTCAGGGATGTGGTGACACGCAGTCAGATATTTTGCCGAACAGATCCGCCACTTTTGGCGCTCATAAACGATCATAAAGCTCTCGTGCTGCAGGAATGAGGAGGTCTGCTGAAGGCGCAGCTGGCGGGCTGTGAGGAGTTTGCGTCTTTAATAAACTACAGCAGTTTGCGTTCACTGAACAGTAAGAATGATTAATAAATCCATATGAAACAGCCCCTTAAAAGTCACGTCTCGCTTTCGGTTTCGGGCTTTGGCGCGTTTTGCGCTCACACACAAGCGTACCGCGCCAAAGCCCAAGTGAACCGTGCTCAGGCACACCTCTTCCAACCGGGCCAGGGCCGGCCAAGTGAACCGTGCTTGAGCCCGATTCAGCGCACTCACACTTCTCAAACGATCCGGGAAACGGGCCTGGGCACGGTACGGATGGCATAGTGTGAGTAGGCCCTTAATCTTGATGAGCTTTAGAAACTCTCGTGTTCTGACCAAATGTCATTGACCATTGCCATCTTGCAAATACAGTTAAAATCCCTGTTTGTGTGCTTGCTCTGTTCCTATTGTCGAGGATGCATCAAGAGATGACTTGCAAGAGACAGATATCCCAACCAGTGAATGTTCCATTAATGGCATTGTAGAAAACCCACACAATTTAAAAACACTCATCTACTGTGTCACGAAATGAACTTTTCAGAGCTTCCAGATGAGAATGTAGTCATATTACACTGGAATCTGTAGTTTACTGACAAAGAGAGCACATCTTCCAATATCATCTTCAGCGTATTCAGACATCAGGACTGCGGTTCCTAATATTGATGTCTTTTAGTAGAATTCAAAGTACTAACGGATAACTATAGGTGTACCATTTCTATAAGCTAGAGTCTGATGAAGGTATATCGTCAGTGCTATCTGACTCCTGCAGCTTTTAAATACTTGCTTTCTTATATTATTCATAGCGATTTACAATTGATAAAAGTGTTGATCTCTGTTGTAAGTGCAGCTATTATTTAGAACTGATTTTCTTCAACATCATCAATACCTAATGTTAGCTATAAGATGTTTTATGAGCCTAGGTTAGGATGTATATGAAGATGTTATTATGAATTTGATTAAAAAATGCTCTTTAATGAAAATTCAACCTTTTTTCACTGCTTTTTCAAAGGCTCAGCTTCAGCAGACAGCAAACAGGTTCTTCAAGAGAACAGCAAGAGACTAAAAGACAAATTAAAGCAGGACTACGAGCAGATATTGGTTGGTAACACACAGAAAGGTCGTCAGAAGTACCTGGATGATATTTACACTGAACTATATGTGGTGGAGAACGAGACTGGAGGAAGAGAGAATGACCATGAGGTGATGCAGATAGAGTCAAGACACAACCAACAGACTGCCGAGGATAAACCAATCAAGTGTAACGACATGTTTAAAGTTCAGCCTGACACAGGTCGACGGAACAGAAGAGTCCTGACACTGGGGATTGCAGGAGTGGGAAAAACTGTGTCTGTTAATAAATTCATTCTTGACTGGGCTGAAGGAAAAGACAATCAGGAAATAGACTTCATATTTCCACTGCCGTTCCGTAGACTGAATCTGATTAAACAAAAAGAGTCCAGTCTCATAGGTCTGCTTAACAAGTACTTCTTTAGAAGTCCCAATACATTGAGCTCTCTTCCTGAAGAACAAGGCAAGGTGATGTTCATCTTTGATGGACTGGATGAATGTCGCTTCCCTCTGACCCTTGATGAAGATGATGGGTTGACAGATGTGAATGAGAAAATGAATGTGAGTAAGATGCTACCAAACCTGTTAAGGAGACATCTGATGTCCTCTTCCCTCATCTGGATCACATCCAGACCAGCAGCAGCCAGTCTGATACCCCGAGACTACATTGATCAGGTGACTGAGGTGCGAGGATTCAATGATGAGCAGAAGGAGCAGTACTTCATCAAAAACAGCAGTGCTGAGGTTGCTGGAAACATCATCAGTCACATCAGGAAATCCAGGAGTCTGTACATCATGTGCCACATCCCTGTCTTCTGCTGGATCTCTCTCACTGTTCTTCAGCCTCTGCTGGCTCAAGAGAGCAATAAAAAAACACCTACAACTCTCACAGGGATGTACATCAACTTCTTACTGTCTCAAAAGCAGCAGATGAGAGAAAAATACAGCAATGATTCTGACCCGGAAGCCAATGCCTGGTCTTTTGCTGACATTGTTCTGAAGCTGGGGAAACTGGCCTTTAAACAGCTGCAGAAAGGCAATCTGATTTTCTACAAAGAAGAACTTGAGGAGTGTGGGCTGGATGTCGAGCAAGCATTTCTGTTCTCTGGGTTATGTACTCGAATGTTTCAGGAGGAAAAAGAAGTTTCAGATGCAAAGGTTTACAGCTTCGTACATCTCAGCGTTCAGGAGTTCCTCGCGGCTCTCTATGTGTTTTATACTTACAAAATCAAGAAAGCAAACCCATTTCTTGATTCCTGGAAGAAGCTGACATGGATACTGTCTAAAAGGTCTCTGTTAAAGCTTCATAAGGCTGCAGTCGAGAAGACTTTACAAAGCAAGAATGGACACCTGGACCTTTTCCTCCGCTTCCTGCTGGGTCTCTCACTGGAGTCCAATCAGAGTGACCTGGAGGAGCTTCTGCCACGACTGAAGCTCAAAACTGAGAACATCAAACACACGACAGACTATATCAAGAAGAAAATAGAGGAGGAGAAGAGAGGACAATCAGCAGAGAGGACCATCAACCTCTTCCACTGTCTGAATGAACTGAAGGATGACATTGTGGAGGACCTCCAGAAGAGTCTGAGCTCTGGAATTCTTATATCACAGGATCTGTCCTCTGCTCAGTGGTCGGGTCTGGTGTTTGTGCTCCTGATGTCAGAAGAGACTCAAGAGAAGTTTGAACTGCAGAAGTGCAGAAGATCTGATGAAGCACTGATGAGACTGATGCCAGTGGTCAAGAACACCAGGAGAGCACTGTAAGAGTCTTCTTTATAGTATATGTTGTTAGCTGTTTTGATTGGGTCTGACTTTTACAGAGTGATGTTCATCCTTTTATATTCAATAATCGCTCTGTGTTCATCCTGTCTTTTAACCTTTCCTCTGACTATATGACTGTAATCAGTGGTTTCCTAAGTCATTTGTGCTTCAGTTTATATACCATACCAGATTAACACATTAATACAGTTGTTTATTTTGTCCTCTACACAGGCTACAGTGCTGTAATCTCACTGTTCAGTGCTGTGAGAGTTTGTCTTCAGTTCTACAATCCTCAAACTGTGTGCTGAGAGAGCTGGACCTGAGTAACAATGCCCTGCAGGATTCAGGAGTGAAGAAGCTCTCTGATGGACTGAAGAGTCAACACTGTAAACTGGAGACACTGAGGTCTGAGTTCGAGCACCTGATTGATTGATTGATTGATTGATTATGGAAGTACTAAACGTATATTACTATAATCACTCTGTTGAAGTAATTTGTGTTGTTTCTCAGCTTGGCCATGTGTAATCTCACTGCTCAGTCCTGTGAGAGTTTGTCTTCAGTTCTACAATCCTCAAACTGTGTGCTGAGAGAGCTGGACCTGAGTAACAATGACCTGCAGGATTCAGGAGTGAAGAAGCTCTCTGATGGACTGAAGAGTAAACACTGTAAACTGGAGACACTGAGGTAAAATAAATGTCACAATAAATGACAAGAAATGTTCAAGAAAATCAAGTCAAGTCAGTTTTATTGTCAAACATGCTGAAGATTCTTGACGTACAGCACATATGAAATTACAGCCTTCAATGCAAACAAGCAATACATAAATAAATATAAAAAACAGAGAAATACAAAACAAAAGTGACAGTAGTGCAGTGTTGTGGGACGCCAGAGATAAAAAAAAAAAAAAGCAAGTGTTTGAGACAATTTGTATGTTTGCACAGAAGTTATATTCTGCATTGAGAGAACCTGAGAGCAGCTTTTACAGCGCTGCTCAGAGCTGTGTGTGGAAGTGGAGGATTTCCTCACCAGAATCCCCTCAGTCACACAGTTTGGTTGATTATAGAGCAGGTACACTGCCTTATACATCTGAACATTTGTACAGAAACAGGAGCACACATTTATAAGACCGAAAACTGACCGCTAGATATGCACAAGAGATTAAGTAAGTAACATTAACTTCTAGTAGTATTGCCAGTGAAAGTAAATGATAAATCACTAGGATTAATCTTAGCCTAGTATTAGGCTCTTCTGGAGTAAGATGTAGCGGAGAAGAATACATTTCTATATTTCTATCTTACTTTAGCCTGCTTTCATGCAACTGCGTTGAGACTAAATTCAGCCAGGCTAGCTTGAAGATCAAGGCTAATCATTTTGTGCAATACGCCGCTAGCTGTGGACAGGGGATTTTGGACTGTTTTTGGATTCTTTATTGTTTGCTGCCTCTTCTGCCTCTTTACTTGATTATGTTTTGGATTAACCCTGTTATTGCTGCCCGTATGATTATGGACTGTGTGATCAATGCCTTACCTTTGTGCTTAAAGATGTGTGAAATATAATGATTTAGTTAATATCAGTTCCTTCACCTTTAAAAAGAGCTTAAGATAAATTACTAATGGCATTTAATGTTTCAGTCTTTGGCGTCTAGTGACAATACACAAATACTTAGCTCTTATTTATCTGTACACGTATACTTCACTGCAGTTAAAAGTCTTTCTGTTGAGTTTACTGATGTGTGTGTGTGTTTGTAGATTGTCTGGCTGTATGGTGACAGAGGAAGGCTGTGGTTTTCTGTCTTCAGCTCTGACTTCAAACCCCTCACACCTGAGAGAGCTGGATCTGAGCTACAATCATCCAGGAGATTCAGGAGTCAAGCTGCTCTCTGAACAACTGGAGGATCCAAACTACACACTGGACACACTCAAGTATGTGGGCGAGCATATACATATGTTTTGTTTGGATCTCTCCTCAAAGACAGATGGATAGTATGATGTTTATTTAAACAGCCTGAAGGCAGTTTAATATTTTTTTCACTTTCACAATCAAAATCCCTGAGAACTGACTTGCCTTCTGCATAAAGCTATCACAAAGGCACAATCATCCCTGAGTGTGAGTCTAGGAACTTGTGGGATTATATTTATTTTTTCAATAATTATATTTATTATTTTAATTATTAGCCCCTTTAAGCTATATATTTTTGATTGTCTCCAGAACAAACCACTGCTATACAATGACGCCTAATTACCCTAACTTTACCCTAATTACCCTAGTGAAGCCTTTACATGTCACTTTAAGCTGTATAGAAGTGTCTTGAAGAATATCTAGTCTAATATTTTGTGCTGTCATTAAAGTGAAGAGAAAACACATCAGTTATTAGAGATGAGGTATTAACACTGTTATGATTAGAAATGTGTTGAAGAAATCTGCTCTCTGTTACACAGAAATTGGGGAAAAATAAACAGGGGAGGTCTAATAATTCTGACATCAACTGCATACACAGAATTATTAGCCCTCCTGAAATATTAGCTCCCTTTGTTTTTTTCCCCCCAAATTTCTGTTTAAAGGAAAGAAGATTTATTTTTTGTAGAAGCACTACACAAGCACAGCTCTCAGTCCACTAGTGTCCGGTCTAGTCAGTTGTACCAGAAAGGACTGAAATGTACCAGAATGTTACTGTTAGTTCTAAGTAAACTTACCCCTTGTTACAATCACCAGCGATCTACTCTATACAGACTGCTGGAGAACTACACATCTGCCACCAAAGGAACTACAATCCTGTCATGCACCACACACTCACACCTGTTCCGGTTTTCCAGTGATTGCTAATCTGCTGATTGAACTATTCATGAACAGATTCAAGGACTATATGAACAGCGCGCGCGCACACACACACACACACACACACACACACACACACACCTTGTTTTGTGACATTGCGACGCGTTTTCCTTGCCTTGCCGTGTTTGACCCTTGCTTTGTTTTGTCAGTTTCTTTTGCTTGCCGCCTGTACTGACCATTCGCCTGTTATTTGACCATTCCTCTGCACAAGCCTGAAACAGTCACAAACCTGGTTAATGTTAATCAGGACTATTTCCATTACAAATACCCACCTGCTATTGTGTCTGGCATCCTACTAATAAACTGTTTACATGACTTACCTGTATCCCGCCCTTTCTGTGAAAATAACGATGGTTTGTTCTGTAGATAACTAATATTGCTGAAGGGGACTATTAATATTGACCTTAAATTATTTATTTATTATTATTAGAAGCTGCTTTTATTTTAGCCAAAATAAAACAAATAAGAGTTTCTCCAAAATAACAAATATTGGATGAAATAGTGTCAAAATCTCTAAACCTTTTGTCAAAGTTTAGAATAAAAAACGTAACCTAACAAGATGTTACAAACAAAAAATTTTTTATACGTACCTCTGGTTTCAATTTACAAATAACTGTGTGTGTGTGCTTGTGTGTGTGTGTGTGTGTGTGTGTGTGTGTGTGTGTAATAACCCTTTATTAATCAGGGGTCACCACAGCAGAATGAACTGCCAACTTATCCACTATATGTTTTACACAGCGGTTGCCCTTCCAGTTGCAACCCATCACTGGGAAACACCCATACACACTCATTCACTATGGCCAGTTTAGTGAACTATAGCGCATGTGTTTGGACTGTGGGGGAAACCAGAGCACCCAAAGGAAACCCACGCCAACACGGGGAGAACATGCAAACTCTACACAGAAACACCAACTGACCCAGCCAGAGCTCAAACCTTGCAGTGAGGCAATTCTGCTACCCACTGCGCCACCATGATGCTATGTGTAATAATAATAAAAGCAATTAAATATAATTCAGTAGTCAGTAGAGACCTACAGGAGCTTCTCAAGTTGTGTTTTTTATCTGACAAGCAACACAACAGCCAATCAGAATCAAGCATTCAGCAGATGCCTGATATTATGCAAAATAATGAAATATTTTAAGAGTAATGTTTGATCAGAATAATTGTGATTGGAGGCCTGCTGAAAGTGTGTTTGTTTACTGACTGAATGTCAATCTGTGTGTGTTTACAGTGTGGATCATGGAGGAGAGAAGATGATTACAGCAGGACTGCACAAATGTATGTCAGCACACACACTGAGACAAACACTACACTAACACACACACACACCCCCAGCTTTGCTGTTATAATGTGTGTGTCTTCTTGTGTTCAGATGCCTGTTTCCTCACACTGGACCCAAACACAGCATACGCTGAACTCATTCTGTCTGAGGAGAACAGGAAAGTGATGAATGTGGATCAGAAACAGCCGTATCCTGATCATCCAGACAGATTCGATAATGTACTGCAGGTGTTGTGCAGAGAGAGTGTGTGTGGACGCTGCTACTGGGAGATTGACTGGACTGGAGAGGATGCGTCTACATCAGTGGCATATAAGAGCATCAGGAGGAAGGGAGATATTGAGTGTGCGTTTGGATGGAATCCTCAGTCCTGGAGTTTGATCTGCTATTCCTCCAGCTACGAATTCAGACACAATAACAAACATACCTATTTACCAGGAGAGCCGATCAGCAGGAGGATAGGAGTGTATCTGGATCACAGAGCAGGAACTCTGAGCTTCTACAACATCAGTGGAGACACAATGATCCTCATCCACTCAGTCCAGACCACATTCACTGAGCCGCTCTATCCTGGGTTTAGGGTTTATCGTGGATCTTCAGTCAAACTGTGCTGAAGACTGAGAGATTGAGGACTGGACTTATTTACCCATAATCCTGTGCTCTGCAGGATCATTCAGCAGCAGTGAGATGTTCTGGAGTCTCTTCATCGCATTATTCCTGAACTTAAGTGTGTGTGTGTGTTTGAGTGGTATTCTCCTTTTGTCTTTCTTCATTTACTATCATAATAAAACTGAACTGTCCTCTAGTTTACACTGCACATCTGTATCATTACTGTAATAATGATCATCTCAAACACATTCACTCAAAACAGGGACAGACAGGAGCATGCAGATAACCCAAAAGCATAGTCAGAGTACAGGCGAGTGGTCGAGACAGGCAGCAAAACAACATAAACAGTAAAACAAAGCAAAGGTCAAAAGTGGAACAAGGCAAGATCAGGAAAACGCTTCAGTAATGCTCACTTGCCGATCACAGGACTCAGCAGAGAGTGTGTGTGAATGAGGTGTCTTCATAGTACTAATAATCAGTCTATCATGAGCTTCCAGCTGTGCAATCTGAGAAGACTGAATAGCAAACTTCACATTAAGGTAAGCTAGCCATGTTACCTTCCATAGAAACAAGAACTACTATCCTAGCTAAGAACACCGATCCTTAACACAGCTTTATTTAAACTAACAACAAACTAGAAGCATCAATGATTTCACAAAAAGAAGTAAACATACCTGAAAGAGCGAGAGTGCCAAACGAACATTTGCCAGTGAGAGTCAGCGATTAGGACTCATAGTGGCAGATTTGAGTTATTGTGGTAACATAGTTGTGTTTGTGCTTAGAAAAAACATCCAGCAAAAAATATAGAAGAGCAAACATTACATTCTACATGCACGCAACTCTCTGTGTGGATACACACTCTAATATGCAGGTGAGTTTCTTTATTTGTGATTCGTCTAATGGGATTTGTGGACCTGCACTGAAGGATCTGAAAAGCTGTACATGCTATGTTGTGTTTGGAAGAGAAAAAAAAAACCTAATGCCTACACATTTGCAACTTTGCTCTGTGATTACAAGTTTACTGATACACACTTATGGCTATACTTTGCAACTACAAATCACACTTTTACACTAAAAATAGCTTCATACGCAAGGGTGCAAGCCTAAGCTGAACAATCTCCCATCCCTCAGACGACACTGCATCAAGATTCATTCATATATTATCTGGAGCCCAATATGCTGCTGCCTTCTTCTAAACCACATTCTGCTCACATTACAGAGTCCTGCTGCGGAGGAAGGGGATGCAGGTACGTGACTGGCCTGCCTACAGTCCTGACCTGTCTCCAATAGAGAATTTTTGGTACAGTCTCAGGATTGCTGGCCTTGGTAGTACTGACCAGGGACCCCAGTCTTCAGTTTGCGACCCCCCCCCCCCTCCTCTTCTTCAGTTCGCGATTCGATTACTTTAAAATGAGCCTTTATTGCTGGAGAAATGTTGCTGGAATATACTAAACTCATATTTGTTTTGGTGACTAAAGTGACTAAAAAGACTAATCAAGCTTCATTAACTTAATAGATTTAAACAAAACCAACAATGTTATATTCTCAACTCATCAAATTTGCATAGACTTTTTGTAATTAACCTATGTTCACTGAAATACACATTGTTAATTAAATGCAAACTAACTCAGTTGCGTGTTTAGTTCTCAGATTAGGATCAAGCATAGGATCAGGTAGCTAGGTGGTTAATTAGCTTTATATTTTATCTTTAACTTGTTACAGCAATGGATGCTTTTGAAGCACAAAACTTGGCAAATCTTCCGTTTTAATCAGTGGTTATGAGTTCTCAAGGTCATGTGATTTCAGGAAACAAGGATTGATTATGTCTCGGGTCATGTCCCAGAACGCCAATCACTGAACAAATTTAACTTTAACATGGCTTTTTAAATCTGTTTTACAAGTTTGAAAATGTTTTAAAGGGACTTTTGTAAAATTAAATGGAATAGTAGTTAATCTCTTATTGTTCTGTTTAGCAGGGGTACAAGTAAGGAGGCAGGATAAGCTTTAAAAAATGTGTAAAGTATTGCATATTATGCAGAGTATAAATGTACTTAAAAAGCATGTGTTAGAAAAATCTGAATAAATCTTCATACTCTGTAAAGCACAACTCAACTATGACAAGTGCACTTAAAAACTACAACTAGCGTATATTTCCAGTTCACTTGGGTCACCTAGGCTTGGGTTTGTGTTCCACCTATTTTAATTTCTTGGATGGAGGAACTCGCACTGTGTGTGTCAGTCAATGATTTCTGATTATCACAGATCAGTATTTTCACCGTATCCACTTCCTCATTACGGCAATTCATTCCCCCCTACAGTTTCTGACCGTGATACTGAAGGCAGGTGTCAACAAGGAAGTGTGCTAGTAAGTGACCTTATTTTGTTAATGAGTAACAGATGAGCTGTTAGTGTTCAGATCAGCCTATAAGTATGCTGTAAAACACTGAGTCTGTGTAGAGGAGGATGACTCTGGGGAGATTCACCGCAAGCTGCAGAAGTGTCTCTGGAGGACGATGAAGTGCAAAACAGACTGCATCGAAAGACCTCTGTCTCTCGTCTTTGAAAAACTCGGCCGTCTCATTGGGAGACATCCGGTTGTGTTTATCTTATTATCTTTATATGTAGCTGCTGGTCTTGGAGCGGGGTTCATCTTCCTCAAGGAGAGGGAGGCAAACGATATCGAAGACCAGTTCACACCTGTCAATGGACCTGCCAAGCGGGACAGAGAGATCGTGGCTGAACACTTCCCTCCATCTGATGAGTTTTCCCAGTTAAGGCTCATGTCTGAAGGCACGTACGCCTCTTTAATCATCACAGACTTACAAGGAGAAAATATATTAACTGCAGCAGCTTTCGAAGAAATCCTAGCGCTAGACAGACAAGTCAAAACTTTACAACACCTGGGCAACACCTTCGAGAAGCTCTGTGCCAAAATAAGGGGAAACTGTGTGTCAAATGCAGTTTTAGACATTATTCGGTATAATGCTGCCGACATAGATTCTGTGACCATAACATATCCGATCAACGACAAAACATTTTTGGGAACAACCATCGGTGGTGTAGAGACACAGCCAAACAGCTCAATGCTGAAAAGTGCCAAAGCGATCAGACTTTATTACTTCCTAGATGAGAAGAAGAGCAAGGGAAACGCAGACTGGCTTGAAGGCTTTATAGAGTTCTTCTCTAATTACACAGACCAGGAAAAGGTGAGTGAAGATGATCGAGAGGTCCTTCAGCATGGCCTAACACACACACAAACAATCTCCAATCACTGTAACCCATTCCTTAAAGACATCTGAAGAAAACACAGATACATTTGCTCGATGTTTCTCTGCTGGTGTCGTGACCTGTGCTAATCTGCCATGATCATGTCTTCACTGCAGCTCATTAATGTGTGTGTTGGATCTCCACAGGTCAGTGTGTCTTACTTCACGTCAGTGTCAAGACAGAATGAGTTTGAGGGCAATACAGACTCCGTGATCCCTCTGTTCTCCATCACATACGCCCTGGCCATCAACATTGCAGTTCTTTCTTGTTTGAGGTACGCAGTATTCAAATAATACTAATCTAAGTACCTAATCTAAGAGTGTGAGACAGGCTCAATTAGACAGGTGTGTATCCACAGGTTAGACTGTGTCCGGACGAAGGTGTGGGTGGCGTTACTCGGCGTGGTGTCTGCTGGTATGGCCGTGTTGGCGAGCTTCGGTCTGCTGTTGTTCTGTGGGATGCCGTTCGCCATGACCGTGGGCTCGGCACCCTTTCTGATTCTGGGTAAACTTAATTAATGTCATCATCTCCCGGTGCGTCTCTCAGCTGGTGTTCACTAGCTCTGCTTTCCTCCAGGTGTCGGCGTTGACGACATGTTCATAATGATCTCCAGCTGGCAAAAGACTTCGGTTGATATAGGCGTGGAGTTCCGCTTAGCAGAAGCGTATAAAGAGGCTGGCGTGTCCATCACCATCACCACGCTGACGGATGTGCTGGCCTTCTACATCGGGCTGCTGACGCCCTTCCGCTCGGTGCAGTCGTTCTGCATGTACACCAGCACCGCTCTGCTCTTCTGCTACCTCTTCAACATCACCTTCTTCGGCGCGTGTCTCGCCCTGAACGGACGGAGAGAGAAAAGCAACAGACACTTTCTGACATGCATGACGGTCCCAAAACCCAGTGGCGATGCTGTAAGTTGTTGTGCTGGTGGGGCTTTTGATGAAAACACAAACAAGGAGCATGAAATGCCAATGGAAGTGTTCTTTAAGAAATATTATGGCCCATTTCTGGCAAAGGTGTGGGTCAAGGTGCTCGTGTGTCTGATCTACGCCGGATATTTAGCTGTCAGTATCTACGGATGCTTCCAAATGGAGGAAGGTCTAGACCTGAAGCATTTAGCAACAGACGGCTCGTATGTTGCAGATTACTATGACAGAGAGGATGAGTTCTTCTCTGCGTTTGGTCCGAATGTCATGTTAGTCATCAAAGATGAACATTTTCAGTACTGGAGCCCTGATGCTCGTAAAAGTCTTGACTTGTGTTTGAAAAACTTTGGAGATCTAACAATGGTAGATTCAGAGATTCCACTTACTTCTTGGCTTGATGCATACATGCAGTTTGGTCAGAGTGCTGGTTTTGATTTAAACAATGAAATGATATTCAAAACTCAATTACCCGCATTTCTTAACCGCTCAGAGTTTAGCCACGATGTTCATTTCACCGATAATAATATCAATGCAACACGCATGTTCATTCAAACGGTGAACATCAAGACAGCGATCGATGAGAAGGACATGTTGAATGCGTTCAGAGAAGCTGCACACACATGTGGGAGGTTGGAGACGCCTGTTGATCTGATCGTGTATCATCCCGCATTCATCTATTTCGACCAATATGCCGTCATCGTCAGCAACACAATCCAAAACCTAGTAGCTGCTACGTGCGTGATGCTGGTGATCTCCCTGCTGCTGATCCCGCACCCTCTCTGCTCGCTCTGGGTCACCTTTTCCATCGCATCCGTCATCGTGGGAGTGGCCGGCTTCATGGCGCTCTGGGACGTCAGCTTAGACTCCGTGTCCATGATCAATCTTGTCATCTGCATCGGCTTCTCTGTGGACTTCTCTGCTCACATTTCCTATGCTTTTGTGTCCAGTGAAAAGTCCTCAGCGAATGAGAAAGCCACGGATGCTCTCCACAAGCTGGGCTATCCCATCATTCAGGGAGCCGTGTCCACCATCGCAGGAGTGGTGGTGCTCGCCGCGGCTAAAAGCTACATCTTCAGGACCTTCTTCAAAATCATGTTCCTGGTCATTCTCTTCGGGGCGCTGCACGGCATCGTGTTCTTACCCGTGTTCCTGAGCTTCCTCGGCATTTGTAGCAACCGTCGTGTGAAAGATGAACCAGAGCAGAAGGACACCAGTGAACGGAGAGTAAAAGTGTTCAGGATTCCGACTGTGCAACACCTGAAAGCTTTTTCTGCTGATCCTGACTGTTTCTGAGCTCTGTTTGACTGGACCGAGCGTGCTCTTGTGCTGTGACTCGTGTGTCTGTGAGTGTTCAACATGCCATCCGTCCTCGGTTTTCCTACAGGCAACTGTTCGAGACGCTGACATTATTCAGTTTCCAAACTTGACAGAAGACCTGTTTAATACAAGCCTTGCTTTATATGACATTTCCATTCGACCAAGACCATTCTGAAAAAGCAGTTATTGTGTTTGGTTTATTAGCATTAAATATATACATATTCTGTGTATTTATAGTTTAATTCAGTTAATCCTTTATGTCTAATTCTTTTCCTCAATGTGTTTTTTTTATGTTGCTGTTACATTAATTATGCACGTATTGCAGTTAATATAAACCATGTTACTGGGGATTTATGCTTGACATTAAAGGATCTTGATATCAGTATAACTGTTGTTGACGTGAGTTATTTCAAAGTCAAAGTCAAAGTCAGCTTTATTGTCAATTCAGCCACATGTACAAGACATACAGAGAATCGAAATTGCGTTACTCTCAGACCCAAGGTGCTTAACATTAATATAAAATATATATATAAAAAATAGTAGGGTTTAAGAAAAAAAGAAAATTTAGAAAATTTACAGTATATACATTATTGCACATAAATGTGGTCTAAGAAATATACATATGTAATAAAAAAAAAAAAAAATTGTAAACAATACAGTGACATTAAGGGCATATAGCAATGAGTGCAAAGTAAACCAGAGTTGTGCAGATAAAAAACAGTATAGTGCAAAAAGAACTTGTAAACATGATAATTGTGATAGAGTGACAGTGACATATTGGGAGGTAGTATATGTGTCTGCATAAAGTGACAAGTGCAGATGAATATGTGTGTGTGTGTGTGTGTGTGTGTGTGTGTGTGTGTGTGTGTGTGTGTGTGTGTGTGTGTGTGTGTGTGTGTGTGTCAGAGTCCAGAGGTGCGAGGGGAGGAGGTGCGTGGGGAGGGAGCGGGGAGCAGAGCTGGGAGAGAGTTCAGCTTCCTGACAGCCTGATGGATGAAGCTGTCTTTCAGTCTGTTGGTCCTGGCCTGGAGACTGCGCAGTCTCCTCCCTGATGGCAGCAGACTGAAGAAGCTGTGCATTGGGTGGCTGGCATCTGCTGTTATGCAGAGGGCTTTACGGGTAAGACGTGTGCTGTAAATGTCCTGAAGGGAGGGGAGAGAGACACCAATGATCTTCTCAGCTGTTCTCACTATGCGTTGAAGTGTTTTCCTGCAGGATGCATTGCAGGTTCCAAACCACACAGTGATGCAGCTGGTCAGGATGCTCTCAATAGTGCCTCTGTAGAAGGTGAACATGATTGGGGCTGGTGCTCTTGCTCTTTTGAGTTTGCGGAGGAAGTAGAGACGCTGCTGTGATTTTTTGGCCAGTGCAGTGGAGTTTTTAGTCCAGGAGAGATCCTCAGTGATGTGTACACCCAGGAACTTGGTGCTGCTCACACGCTCCACAGTCGCACCGTTGATGGTCAGGGGAGCATGGAGAGTGTGCTCTTTCCTGAAGTCAACAACAATCTCTTTCGTCTTCTCCACATTCAAAAAGAGATTGTTGTCTCTGCACCACTCGGCCAGACGGCTCACCTCACTTCTGTAGTTTTCCTCATCGTTTTTGTTGATGAGACCCACCACAGTTGTGTCATCCGCAAACTTGATGAACAGATTGGAGTTGTGTGATGGTGCACAGTCATGAGTGAGCAGGGTGAAGAGGATAGGGCTCAGAACACATCCCTGAGGGGCCCCAGTGTTTAAAGTGATGGTGCTCGATGTGTTACTGCCGGCCCGTACTGCTTGTGGTCTTCCAGTGAGAAAATCCAGCAGCCAGTTACACAGAGAGGTGTTCAGCCCCAGCTGGAGCAGTTTATGAGAGAGCTGTTGGGGGATGATAGTGTTGAATGCTGAACTGAAGTCTATGAACAGCATACGGACGCAGGAGTCTTTTTTGTCCAGATGTGTGAGTGCTGTGTGAAGTGCAGTGGAGATGGCATCATCAGCCGAGCGGTTGGGCCGATAAGCAAATTGAAACGGGTCCAGGGAGGGGGGGAGGACAGACTTGATGTGCTGCATAACAAGCCGTTCAAAGCACTTCATGATGATAGGGGTCAGTGCAATTGGACGGTAGTCATTAAAGCAGGAGGGAGATGAGTTTTTTGGGACCGGAATGATGGTAGTGGCTTTAAAACAGGTGGGGACAACAGCCTGGGTTAGAGAGATGTTAAAAATGTCTGTGAAGACATTAGTGAGTTCTGATGCACAGTCTCTCAGTACACGACCTGGGATGTTGTCAGGGCCCGGAGCTTTGCGTGCGTTAATCCTGCTGAGAGACCTCCTCACACTGTCCGGAGACAGAGTCATCACCTGGTCACCAGGGGGAGGTGGCATCTTCTGTGCAATGGTGCTGTTTTGTACCTCAAAACGAGCGAAGAATTTGTTTAGCTCGTTCAGCAGGGGGATGGTGCTGTCACATGTCTGTGGTTGGGGTTTGTAGTCTGTGATGGACTGAATTCCTCTCCACAGACTCCGTGTGTCTCTGCTGTCATTAAAGCGATGGGCTATACCTCTGGAGTACTGTCTCTTAGCTTCTCTGATGCCACGGGAAAGGTTGGCTCTAGCTGACTTTAGGCTCGCCTCATCTCCAGCTCTAAAGGCAGTGTTCCTAGCCTTCAGGAGGTTGAAGACCTCTCCTGTTAGCCATGGCTTCTGATTGGGACGGACTGTGATGGTTTTGGTGACTGTTACATCCTCAGTGCATTTGTTTATGTAGGCTGTAACAGTCTCAGCATACTCCTGGAGGTCAGTGGTGTTGTTGTAAGTGGCAGCCTGTTTAAACATATCCCAGTCTGTGGTATTGAAGCAGTCTTGTAAAGCCTCTGAAGAACCTTCTGGCCACACTTGTATCTCCTTGCAAACCGGTTTGGTGACTTTAACGATCGGTCTGTAAGCAGGCATTAGCATGACAGTTAAGTGGTCTGAGGCACCAAGGTGGGGGAGGGGGAAGGCTTTGTAAGCTCCTCTCTGTGTGGTGTAAACAAAGTCCAGTGTGTTATTGCCCCGTGTTGGAAAGTCTATGTGTTGTTGTATTTTTGGAAACACACTCTTAAGGTCTGCATGGTTAAAGTCCCCTGCCAGGATGAGAAAAGCATCGGGGTGGCCTGTCTGCTGCTCACTAATGTGCAGGTACAGGTCATTTAGTGCCTCACTCCTGTTGTTTGCATTGGAGCTGGGAGGGATGTAAACAGCGAAAAGCAGAATGGCTGTGTATTCCCTCGGTAGATAAAATGGACGGCACTTAATAATCATGAACTCCACCAGTGGTGAGCAGTGTTTGCGGACTACAACGGCATCGCGGCACCATGACTCATTGATGTAAACACAGAGCCCGCCACCGCGGGTCTTACCTCCCGCGACGATAGCTCTGTCTGCTCTGTAGCATGTTAGCTGGTCGAGCTGAATGGCGCTGTCCGGAACGTTGTCGTTGAGCCAAGTTTTGTTGAGCGTTGTCGTTGAGCCAAGTTTCCGGTAATCTTATTTATTGCAGATTACCTGCACTAATGCAGAAACACCCCTGCGTATGCTCTGTTGAGATTACTGTAAGCTGGATATCATGTGCTATGAGAAATACATCAAACTTACACAAGCAGAACTCTAATAGAAGTAACCCTTGCTTTTCTACTTATTTTTGCATCTAATTCGTCTAATATACATGTAGAAGTATTATTAGCTATAGACATTGATATTTAGTTTTTGCAGCAAACACTTAGTTTTGCTAATGAATATAACACCTTTACATTTCCAGCTGCTGCAGAGACGTTTAAAAAGCAAAATAATATCATGTTTGAGAAACAGCATTACATTCTGGAGCTCAAGAGAACAATATAAAGAAGTGATCCAAAAGGGATTAAGCAGTAGTAGTGATGGTGCACACACAGAAATAAAGCTCCCAGTGCAGCTAGATTTAGAACGGTCAGACGGGCAGAGCTCCACACAGCAACACACAACAAGAAAATTAACTTAAAAATGATCTAGCAAATTGGTCAACTTAACTGTACACACACACACACACACACAAACACACAACTACGCTCATTAAAGCTTAGACTACTGTTTGTGAGTGAAAACAGCTAGTGTTTTGCTGCTCACGATGAGAACCAGAAGCTGCAAACAAATACTTGAGAACAATAATCACTAGATCACAATCCTACACTCAAAACAAGTTTTTGGCTTGTTCAACCTGCTAATTTAAAATGAGCTGAAACAACACAATTCTTGAGATTTCATTTAGACAACTTACTTTATGTTAATCCTCATAAATGTATTAAAAGTGTTAAGTTAATTGATTTGTGTCGGGACCCTGCATTTTTACAGTGTAATCCTACAGCTTACAGTATGCACGCGGTTTTCATAAGATTTCCCTATTCTCATAACCTTTCTTATGCCATACTACACACTTGACCAAGAAGCTGCCTTGCTACTACACATTCACTTGTGATGACTTCTGTTACATCAGCATGATTTATATATTAATCTGCATATCAGGTTGAGTTTGTTCTCAGTGGTTTTAAGTTTTCTGATTCAGTTCTCTATGTCTATTATGTACAGTTTGCAGTACAATGATCATAATAATGGTTAACATTATTTTAAAATGATTGTTTAGCTTGTAGTTTTTGTTATAAAGTTTTAAAAACTTTTACTTCAGCAAACATATCCCTGTGTAACTTTAAACTTGTCAAGAAGCCAGCCATTGCATACACAAAGTGCCTGAAAGAAGCTTGAACTTGGGGTTGTTTCTTGCAATAGTATGGATTTTGGAGATTTGCATTACAGCGCAAGAATAAAATGCATTCCTTTAATAGTTACAGTATAATGCCTTATTGTTGTGTTTGTTGTCAGTATGATGGATGTTACTCAGCTTCCACAGGGAAAACATTACATGATGAGTAGGGCCAGACTGAATCTGCGGACGCTTGTTGCTATTTCTGCAGAGAATTTTGTAAAAAATCTGCGGTATTATTTTGGGAGTATCGTAACTAAAAACTGAATATATTAAATGAAAAATAATAGCTTTTAATCTTTAATTTAATGTTTACAATGCAAATCCATCTAAATCCACTTATTTGGTAAACAAATCAAGCCTATCATATAATATCTCTACTAAAGACAGAACATATTACTGTACACACTGTATTGTACAGAAATCAATTGAACACTTTCATATTAGTCATTAACATTACTGTAATTCTTTTAAAAACTCAGTTATTATACATTTATACAAGTAAATACATAGACTCAATGATGGGCTAAAAATCTGCAGAAATCTGTGGATTTCTGTACGAGTAGATTCCATGTGGGCCTAATGGGGACAGAAGGGGGCATTGC